TTTCATGCAAACCTCAATCTAGATAGCAAGAAAACATTGCCAAACATTGATCAGTATCTCAAATATGTAATTTGGAGTCAAAAGAAAAATTGCCCACCCTCAATGCCTGTTCTTGCTCTGCTCCTAAATCATGGTTGGTACAAGTTAGAAGGCAGACAACTGCAGTGACAGATAAAAAGTTGTCAAGAATCTTTTAGAAGATTTTTATTTATATTATAGTGCTGATGTTTCCTGAACTTTTCAACGGCTTTTGCCATGGCAGTGAGTACTCCATGTGGATCCCTTTGCATACATTTCTCTAGCAAGAGGTGGAAGAGGATGATAATCAACATGTAATGAGGTATTAGTAGAAGTGGTAGCTAATGAAGAGTAATCAGCTCCCTCTGCTGATACATTTCTCAGTTAAAGGAATTGGTATTCACTTGGACCCTACCACGAAAGGGAGTTTATTGATGAACAAAAGGTCTTTGTGTCATACTTGGAGACTATGGTGCATGTCCTGTATGGATTTATTGGAGAATGTGAAGCATTCTACCTGTCAAATACTGCAATAATGTGTAACAGATTTCTAAAATGAGAACATATGCATTTTAAAACCATTTTCAGAAGAATTCTGGATAGCCAACCAGACATAAATTTTCCTAGGTGTATTATGATTCTTACTTATATTTAATTTCAATCTCCAGGAACCTCTAATAAATGGATAGTCAATGAATCAGTTCAAGGTATTTGTTTTGGCTGTAATTCTACATCCCAGTGGAATTCTTCAGCACATTCTTATATCAATAACACATCATCTTGCAGGAATGCTTAGATATGCCTGCAGTAATGCAGAAATTAGCTGAGAGAATTTCTCAGGGTGATTCCACATACATTAAATCCAGCCTACTCTCTTAAATGCCAGTTAGTTGCCAGGCATTTGCAGCCAGGGGCTTCTTTCACATGGCTCCAGATGTCTAAGGCCATTTTATAATTCTTGTACCTCAGGTAATTATGATCACTTGAAGAGAGTATAACGCAGTATGCTTCACATTTGCCATAACTCAACTAGCACGAGATTAATGTAGGAGAGTATATTTTATAGAGATTCAGAAATTATTCATGGTGATTGAATCATTGAAACCTTATGCAAGTATCACATTAGCTGGTGCCCTGCATTTCTATATGTTGTGGACATTATTTTGGTATGCAGTGGTCAGGTAACAGTTGCTGACACAAGTTGCAGCAGATGGAAAGCACAGCATGTTGTTTGTACATGCACTGTTTGCTACTTGTTTGCAATACTTTATGCAGGGACCCAGATCTGAAAATTTTAAAAAAATCATAATTATTGATCAATACATTTACTTTCCATCATCTTATTCCATCCTTATAAGTAGTTCACTTCTCCCAACTTGTTGTTGTCTCCTTTCCCTCCATTCACAAAGATAAATCATAAAACATGCAGAGGCAAAGAACAGGATATGGCCTGGCAGTCAGGGCAGCCTTGACGGCTGCAGAGAAGCAGTAATACAGTTAAGTTTGAACACTGCAAGCATTGCCATTAGAAATGGGAGTCTCCCAGCTACCTAGTGGCAGAATGAAATATTATAGTCACATGTCAGTAACTGTTTAAATTTGATAATCCGCATAATAATAACCTAGAACTCTCTTATCTTGTTAGCTATAATTCATATCTTTCAATCCCCTGGTTTCTTTATATGCTCCACAGGTACTGGTGCCGGAAGAGGATGTAAACATCTCATGGAGGCTGCTCATTCTGAGGATGCACTATCACATGCCTAATGTCCACCCACCACCAACTCAAAAGCACAACCAAGAGTGGGAAGTGAGACAGATATTTGCATTATTAGATGGTGATGCACATATCACAAATGGGATGGACAGATACTTGAGGCAGGTACAGCAGCCAAGAACCTCCACTGAAAATTTTGCCCAGCTGAACAGAACAAAGAAGGGTCCTGACTTGAAACGTCAACTTTCCTATTCCTCTGATGCTGCCTGACATGCTGTGTTCCTCCAGCTCCACACTGTGTTAGACTATTGAAATTCAGTTGATTTAAATGGGGTTCTGCTGATGAACAACTTGGCACTTGCTGATTTTCACTGTATAACAGACAGTGACTTTTGAATTTGGTTATTGCAGTTGAGAAAATGAAATAGGCCAATCAATCAGAAAGTCAGACCTGACCAATAGGAGTGGTTGTGGGTATAATCTCTTTGCAACTTCATATATCTGTGTAGTTTGGTGCTTGATTAAAATTGTATTGGATATGCTGGCATGTAAAAGAGTAGCAACGATTTTCGGTAGATAACTATAACAACTGAATGTGATTTCATTATCTCTAACTCTTGGATAAGAACGCTAAAACCTATTGGGACTTCACTGAAGTGCACAAAATGTTCTTCAGACCCAGGCTGGTAAGGGAGTGTGGTTTGGCACTGTTCACGAAGATGGAGCAAGGACATATCGAAGGGTGACCCCATTCAAAGTGGGTCCACTTCATTCCCCTTACCCCGCTTCCAAATTAGAACTCCACATACTGCCTCCTGTTCCAGTATAGGGCCTACTCCTGCACAAATATATTTAGGATACGAACAAATGAAATGAGAGTAGAAATAGTCTATTTGACGCATTGAGGCAATTCCACAATTCAATACATTCATAACTAATCAGCTTGTGCTTCTGCACAGTCTTTGATAGCTTCCTCATAGAAATAGTCTATTCGGCCCCTCGAGGCAATTCCACTATTCAATACATTCATAACTGATCAGCTTGTGCTTCTGCACAGTCTTTGATAGCTTCCTCAGAGATTCCAGAATCCAAAGGACTTCAGTCAAGAACATCTAAGCAGATTGAGCAGAGATATGAGCTGCCTGACTAGCTTTGCTAAAGCCACAGAGGGTTGCATCACACAATAATAGGAAAATAAACAAGTATTTTGAGCTGCCCATTCATTGTTCAACACTTAATAAATATCACATTTCCAATTCATGTTTATGAGCCAGACTATTAACTCAAAGCTGCATTATCTGTCCTCCCTATCTTTACTTGTTAAGTGATTTTTTTACTTGCAAATTTAGTATGCCTAGACTTACAGACAAGAATTGGATATGTGACAGATGAATAAATTGTTGCCTGTATGACTGTTTTGTATCTGTTGGCTCTGGGTGAGTGAGGGAACTTGTTGAGTTTCAAATCACACTAGGTGATTGCATTGACTCAAATTAACTGAAGTTTCCTTGAAATTTGTCAATTCTGGACTTCTCTGGCACCCAAGTATGCAGACCCTCACCAGAGTAGTCTCTTCCTCCTCCAAAGCTTTTTCATCACCATGCTTTTGGACAATATTGTACAAGGTACAATGTTGTACCATTACTGAAATCCTGGCTGGTGCATACTGAACATCTGTCCAGGCCTTCAAGATACATTTTCAGTATTTTGATTGTTTACAACTCTTGCGCTCATGTGGCTTTCGTGGACTTTGAAAAATATCCCTCATCTCCAATGATCATGTGTGACTTTTGTTTAAAATAGCAATAGTATTTGTGGGAAACCTGATTAGTGCAGGATGAACACACCAATGTAACTCTGAGGAATCTTGAAGAGACATGCATTTGCAAGCAGACATGAACTTTCGACGTCTGCAAACTCTGATAGTCTTGATCACCACTAACAATGCAGGCATTTGTTTACCAAGCAGGAAATCTTCTCTAAAGACTCTGCCAATATCAGCAACAAGCATTCTGTACCTCTCAAGGTACTGGTGCTCAGCCAGGTGCAGGAAACCTATCCTCTGCTTGTATACTCTATGTTGCAGGTATCACCTCCTGTGAACTAGGGCTTTGCACTCAATAACCTTAGTCCTGTGGAATAGCTGGTGGCCAAGAAGAAGGCTGCTGTTCTGCAGCTATTTGTATTGCTGCTGTTGCTATTGTTCCCGTTTTCAGGGTTTAATCTATATTTTTCAAATGCTAGTCTTCTGAGGAGCCAGTGGTAAAAATTGATCTCCAAAATTGATTGATCTCCAAGATAGCACTGGGGTGTGGTGACACTCTTCAAGCCCTTCTAAACAGATCATCCCCTCACATCTTACATAATCATTCTACTCTTTTAAATCTCTACTGTAAGTCTGTCAGAATTATTAACAATTTTCTTTTAAATCTGCTTACATGTCTGTCGATCTTTTGACCGCTGGAAACAACCAGTCTGACCTGGCGAAGAACAGACCACCCAACAGTGTGAACCAACGGGGCCTGACTGCTGACATTAGAACTGCGACCACTAAACAAAGTGACCAACCGCTTACTGGCTTCACAAAGACCCGAACCAGATGTTGATCAGCAACCCAATTCCATGGAATTGACCCCAATATGGGCCCAATGTCCCACTCGAACATGTGAAGACCTGACATGAAGGCACAACTAGACTGCAAGCAAGATCCACCAGAGAACCTGGGGGCGTGATTGCATAGCCACATACCTTCCGGAACAGCAGACCATTCACTCCAACTCCTGGGGCAACCAGAAGCAGCTACTTATCCAGGAAATGTGGGAGACGCACTGGCCTACAGATGAGACTGAAACAATGCAGTTTCAAGATCCCCTCCCCAGCACACACCTCGCAATCATCCGAGCTATGGAAAACAAGCTGAATGAACTTAAAGCTAGGCTAATCTACCAAAGGCAATGGAGAGCCTGCTGTATTCTCTGTTTTACAGAGACATGGCTCACTCCTGCTTCACCTGACTGCCTTTCAACCTGATGGCTTCTCAGTCCATCGGATGGACTGCACGTATCCTCAGCCAAGGCAAAGGGCGGAGGATTCTGCCTCCTGGTCAATAGTTCTTCATGCTTGGATGTGATCATTCTGGCAAGTTACTGCTCCCTGGACCTAAGATGTCTAATAGTGAAGTATTGTCCCTGCTGCCTGCTGCAGGAGCTTACTTCTGCTATCCTGACAGAAGTTTACAACCCACTCTATGTGGAAGTGAACAGCACATTTGATGAAATGTACATCACTACAAATCGCCTTGATACAGGACTCTCCAAGATCTTGTTCATTGTAGACGGTGAATTCAACCAGGCAAACCTCAAGAGTATGCTGCCAAGATACCATCAACACATCTCCTGTTCCACCAGAGGCCCAAACACACAGGACCATTGCTACATGACCATCAAAGATGCCTACTGCTCAATCCCTTACCAGCTTTTGCTAAATTGAAAAGCTGTGCTCCTTCACCTGGCTTACAAGCAGAAACGGAAGCATGAGGATTGTTACAGAAAGTCATTCAATTTTCGTCTGGGGTAACAGATAAGATCCTACGTGACTGCTTTGAATCAGTGGACAGGTCCATATTCATGAACTCAGCAGCCAACCTAAATGAGTATGCCACTACCGTCATAGAGTTCCTCAATAAATAAGTAGAGGACTGTGTGCCAAAGAAGTTAATCTGAATGTTTCCCAAACGGAAACCATGGATGATTTGAAAGATCCACTCCCTACTGAAGTCTAGGTCAGAGGCGTTCAAGTCGTGTGACCCTGACCTTTACAGGAAATCTAGGTATGATATTTGCAAGGCCATCAGGGACACCAAGAGACAATACCAGACTAAATTCAAGTCACAGACTAAGCATACCAACACACCATGGCAAAGCTTACAGGATGTAATGGACTACAAAGCTAAGTCGAGTAGAATTGCTGACAATGCATGCTCCCGCAATGAGGTCAGTGCATTCTATGTTCAATTTGAAGAGAAGATCAGTGAAATGATGTCACCAGCCCTATCAGGTTCGAGTCCACCTATAACCACAGTCACAGTTGCAGACGTAGATTTGCCATCTTGAGAGTGATTGCGTGGAATGTGACTAGCCCAGATGGAATGCCCAGCCATGCACTCAGATCCGATGCAGACCAGCTGATGCATATTTGCAGACATCTTTAACCTTCCTTACTACAATGTGAAGTTCCCACCCACTTCAAGAAGATCACTATCATCCCAGTGCCAAAGAAAAATCAGGCAACGTGCCTTAATGAATACCACTTGGTGCCTCTGACATCCATCATATGAAGTGCTTCAAGAGGTTAGTAATGGAACACATCAGGTCCAACCTCCCAGATTGCCTTGATCCACTACAGTTTTACCTACAGTTGCGGTAGGTCTTTGGCAGACGCCGTCTACCTGGCCCCACACTCACCCAGGAACATCTGAATACAAGGACACCTATGTCAGACTCCTTCATCTCCAATTCCGAGACCTAGGAGTCTGCTCCCCTCTCTGCAATTCCAAATGCGATCTCCTGACCCACAGACTGCAAGGATAGGTGACTACATCTCCTCCACAGTAATCCTCAACACCAGTGCCTCGCTGATTTGCTGATGACACCACCATAGTGGTCGATCTCAAACAACAAGGAGTACAGTTTGTGGCATTGTGTAAAGACAACACTGTCTCTCTCAAGGTCAGCAAATTGAAGGAGCTGGTCATCAACTTCGGGAAGTGGAATGGAGTTCATGCCCCTGTCTGTATCAATGGTGCTGAGGTGGACGTGATTGAGATTTCAAGTTCTAGGGAGTAAATATCACCAACAATCTAGCCTGGTCCATCCACATCGATGCTACAGTCAAGAAACCACACCAATACCTCTACTTCATCAGAAGGCTGAGGAAATTTGGCACATCCACAATAACTCTTACCCATTTGTACAGATGCACCATAGAACACATCTAATCCAGATGCATCACAGCTTGGTATAGCAACTGCTATGTCCAAGATGACAAGAAATTACAGAGAGTTGTGAACGCATCCCAGTCCATCATGAAAGCCAGCCTTCCTTCCATTGACTCAGTTTACACTTCCCACTGCTTGGGAAAGAAGCCAACATAATCAAAGAACCCTCCCACCCCAGTTATACTCTCTTCCACCCTCTTCCATCAGGTGAAAGATATAAAAGTTTGAAAACACGTATCAACAGATTGAAGAACAGCTTCTTCCCACTGTTATTAGACCTACGAATGAAACTCTCATATATTAGAGTTGATCTTTCTCTGCACCTTCTCTGTAATTGTAACTCTCTATCCTGCATTCTGTTCTATTTTCCTCATGGACTAATGTAAGGTATAATTTGTCTAGTTAGCATGCAAAACAATACTTTTCACTATATCTTGATACGTGTCACAATCATAAATCAAATCAAATCAAACATTGTCCAGATAACACTGGACAATGGCAACTCATTTAAAATCTGGCCCACGGCCCTCTGGCATACTGCCAGCACTGACTTGAAGGTGCTTTAGGTGGAAAGATCCCTAGTGTGTCACTACTGTCAGCAGCAGCTGAGATTCCTTCAAAAGTAGGCATGTGACGCATTCATTTTCAAGAATTTCAGTCCACTGAATAGGCTGCTCTACATTGGGGAGACAAAGTGCAAACTGAGTGATTGTTTTTTGGAACACTTGTGTTCTGTCCGCAAGAACGATCCCGAGCATCCGACTGCCTGCAATTTCAACACACCATCTTATTCCCTGGCCAACATTGCTGTCTCAAGCTTGCTACAGTGCTTCTGCAAAGCTCAGCATAAGCTGGAAGAACAACACCTCATTTTCCATGTGGGGACACTGACCTTCTGGACTCAATATCAAGTTCAATACCTTGAGGGCCTGAAGACCTTCTCCCATGTCCCTACCCAAACCACCACACACTGAGGTCTGTCATCTCATGGATTTCAACTACAAGCAAACCATTATCAGCCACTAACAGTCCCCATTAGCAGCTATTCACTTTCTCAGGTTGGCCATTACCTATTTGTTTATCTGCAAAACTGTTTTCTCTCTCTTTGAGCCTGTCTCTACCTATCATTTGCTCCTTTCCCCAGCTCCCCCATCCTACCTTCAGCATATATCAACCTTTTCCTAGCTACAACCAGTTCTAAAGAAGGGTCACTAGACTTGAAACATTAACTCTGCTTTCTCTCCACAGATGCTTCAGCCTGGCTGAGTTTTTCCAGCAATTTCTGATTTTGTCCCTGAATAAGTCCTCTGTGTGCTGTTTTAAAGAGACATGGCTGACTCCTGCTTCACCTGACTGTGTTTTACAGCATGAAGGTTCCTAAATCCATCAGATGGACTGCACTTCATCCTCAGACAAAGCAAAGGGCAGAGGGAGTCTGACTCCTAATCAACACCTCTTGGTGTTCAGACGTGATGACCTTGGTGAGTTACTGCTCCCCAGACCTAGAATATCTAAAGGTGAAGTATCATCCCTATTACCTGCCATGGGAGTTTACTTCTGCTTCCTGACAGCAGTTCACATTCCACTCTATGCGGAAGTGAAGAGCACACTTGATGAAACATTCACCACTACAAATAGCCTGATACAGCATTCCCTGAGGTCTTGTTCATTGTAGCCAGTGACTTCAACCACACAAACTTTAAGAGTGCACTTCCAAGATACCATCAACACATCTGCTGTCCCACCAGAGGCCCAAACAGCCTGGACCATTGCTATACAATGATCAAAGACACCTAACGCTCCATTCCCCCACCCACATTTTGGTAAATCAAACCATAAAGTTGTGTTCTTCTCTCAGCTTACAAGCAGAAACTGAAGCATGAGGATTGGTACAGAAAGTTGTACAATGCTGGTCTGAGGTAACGAACGAGCTCCTATGTGACTCCTTTAAGACGGTTGACTGGTCTGTATTCAAGAATTCAGCAGCCAACCTAAATCAGTAATAGTACTTAGAGGACTGCATGCCAAAGAAGTTAATCCAAGTGTCCCCCAACCAGAAACCATGGATGAATCGGAAGATCCACTCCCTACTAAAGTCCAGGTCTGAGGCATTCAAGTCGGGTGATACTATACAGGAAACCTAGGTACGATTTTCACAAAGCCATCAAGGATGCTAAGAGGCAATACCAGACGAAATTCAAGTCTGAGACAAAACACACTAACACACATCGACTGTGGCAAAGCTTACACGGTATAACAGGCTGCAAAGCGAAGTTGAGTAGAATTGCGGACAATGCATCCCTCCCTGACAAACTCAATGCATTCTATGCACATTTTGAACAGAAGGTCAGTGAAATAGTGCCATCTGCCCCATCAGCCTTGGGTTCACCTGTACCCATAGTCACCCATGCAGACATCAGATCTGCTTCAAGAAGACTACTATCATCCCAGTGCCAAAGAAAAATCAGGCAACATGCTTTAATGACTACCATCTGGTGACTCTGACATCCATCATTATTGAAGTGCTTCGAGAGGCTAGTATGGCACATGTCAGCTTTAGCCATCCAGATTGCCTTGATCCATGACAATTCACCTATTATTGCAATAGCTCTGCAGCAAACGTCATCTCTCTGGCCCCACACTCATGCCTGGAACATCTGGATAACAAGTACACTTATGTCAGACTCCTACTTATTGACTTTAGTTCCACCCTCAACACTATAATTCCAACAAAACCCATCTCCAAACTCCAAGACCTAGGACTCAGTTCCCCTCTCTGCACTCCACACTTGATTTCCTGATTCACAAACCACAAATCAGTAAGGATAGGTGACTAGACCTCCTCCATAATAATCCTCAACACTAGTGCCTCGCAAGACTGCGTACTCAGCCCCTTATCATACTCTTTATACAGTAACAACCATGTGGCTAAATTCAGCTCTAACTCAATTTACAAATTTGCTGATGACACCATCATAGTGGGTCAGATCTCAAACAAGGATGAGACAGAGTACAAGAAGGAGATAGACATCTTAGTGGTATGTATAAAGACAACAATCTCTCCCTCAATGTCAGCAAAATGAAAGGAGCTGATCATTGACTTCAGGAAGCAGAGTGGAAGATGCATTCTTCTCTGTATCAATGTGGCTGAGATGGAGGTGATCAAGAGCTTCAAATTCCTGGGAGTAAATATCACCAACGATCTATCCTGGTCCATACATGATGACGCTACAGTCAAAAAAGCACACTTGACATAATTATGTAAGGTATGATTTGTCTGGATAGCATGGAAAACCAAATTCTTCACTGTATCTTGATACATGACAATAATAAATCAAAAATTTCCTATGAGTGGATCTGTACTAAGG